AAACCAGTGTCTCTCTTGGTCCTGGGTTTTGAGACAGAGTCTCACGTAGCCCAGACTGAACTTGTCTCACTCTATTCTTGCAGATGGCCTTGAACTCCTTAGCCTCCTGCCTCTGCCTCCAAATGCTGGATTATAAATATGGAATTCCCTGACTAGCACCACCATATTTGAATGCATTTTTGCTTTTATCTTTGGGTCCACACTATTAGGAACCTTTTTTCCCCCCATCAGAGATATTTAGCCTAGTAAGAGCTCTTATTTCCTGAACTTTCCCATTTGTACAGATTAATCAACTGCCTTCAGATTGTGAAGTTGAGCTCCCACCAATGGGATGAGATGCAGTCACCACCTACAAGAGGGATACAAGAAAGAAGCCCTCTTGGCCAAGTATGCTTACTCGTCCAGTTTGGGTTTCAGCACACATACTTGCTAAGTTATTTCAAATTTTGCCACGTATTCCTTTGTGCAAGACTAAGATCACTCTGTTTGTTCCTAACAACGCATTTCTGAGTTGTACGCTAGAGTGGTTTTGTCTCAGGACTCATCGTAAGCTATGGATGGGCCGCTGCAGTCCTCGCAAAGCCTGGCTCTCCCTGTGGTGTTTCCCTGGCTGTGGTTCAGCCAGTTCTTACTGATTCAGCCAGAGATGAGTGTGAAGCTGCCTTTTAGGGCCTGAGCCTTACGCAGGGATCTGGACAGAAACAGATACTCTGTTTAACTTTAGGTCTTCCTCCATGGCAAATTCTTTTTGCCTTTCTTTCTTATTTTGGTTAGAAATGTAGGCATTCTATGTTTTGAAAGATTATTACACATTGTTCCTATCCTTGCCTTTGTGAATAAAGAGATTATTTTTGTTGTCTTTTAACTAATCACGCGCTAGAACTCCTGATTAGCAAGAGCAAATGAGTGTTACCGCACTCAATATAATTATAACTGAGACCACACATATGTGATGTTTCAGTATGTGTGAAAAATCTTGTCACTGGCATGGTGATGCATGACTATGATACCGGCACTCTGGAGGTGGAAACGGGAAGATTATTCATAATGAATTTGAGGTCAGTTTGGGTATATGAGACTCTATTTCCAAAAAATTATATGTATGTATATATGTATACATATACACATATACAGAGTTTTGTGTGTGTGAGGTCAGCCTGGGGTTTATGAGACTCTCTCTCTCTCCACACACACACACACACACACACACACACACACACACAGAGAGTTATATGTGTGTGTATGTGTGTATTTGAGGTCAGCCTGGGGTACACACACGCACACACACACTCACACACACACACACACAGAGTTGTGTGTGTGTGTGTGTGTGTATTTGAAGACAGAGTCCCATCATGTGGTCTCTGCTGGCCTGGAGCTCTCTCTGTAGACCAGACTACATTCAGACTCAAAGAGATCCACCTTGCCTTTGCTTCTCAAGTTCTGGGGTTAAAGGTGTGTCCCACAATGCCTAACTTATAGCCTTTTTTTAAAATTATGGCTTATAAAGTGATCATGTCTCTGTTATTTCATCATCATTAATTTTCCAGAGTTCTACAAACTCTCCTCCTTCATCCACCTTTTGGTCACCTCATGGTACATAATTTGGACAGAAAAGGCAGGGGAGGGGCTGGAGAGATGGGCTCAGCAGTTTAAGAACATTGGCTGTTCTTCCAGAGGACCTGGGTTCAATTTATAGCACACACATGGCAGCTCACAACTGTCTGTAACTCAGGTTCCATGGGATCCGAAATCCTCACACAGACATGCAGACAAAACACCAATACACATAAAATAAATGAATAAACCTTAAAAAAAAACAAGAAAAAGCACGGTAATTTTTTTTGCTTCCTCTCATTTATTAGTTCTTAAGTAACGAGTCTTTCTAAGGCTAAGGAGTGCCCCTTCTCAAGTTGGTGCTGCTTGTTAAGTCCCAGGTACGAACATTTTATGTCTCTGTTCACTGCAGCATCCTTACCGTACCCGTATGCATCTCAGTCAACTTCAGCATCCTTACTGCATCTGCATGCATCTCAGCCAACTTCTGCATTCTTACTGTACTTGCATGCATCTCAGCCAACTTCAGCATCCTTACTGCATCTGCATGCATCTCAGCCAACTTCAGCACTCTTACTGTACCTGCAAGCATTTCAGCCAACTTCGGCATCCTTACTGCATCTGCATGCATCTCAGCTAATTTCTGCATTCTTACTGTACCTGCATGCATCTCAGCCCACTGCAGCATCTTACGATACCAAGAACACCTGTTCTGTCAGCTGCTTCTCAGACCTCTTGTGTTTTGGTTTGATAAGGTGGCCCAAGCATGTTTTGTTCACTTCCTACCCAGTTCTGAAATCAGCCATTTTCCCAAACATCTTTTATTATGTCAGTGGACCTTAGCATTTAGCTTCTTGGAAATAGAGATTCCCAAGGCTCTGGTGATTTCACAAAAGTGTCAGGTGATTTGTATCCCATAAAATATCGAAAAGTGCCAGGCTGGAGCTGCACTTCTCAACACCACCTTAGCCGAGCGTTCATGGACACACAGCAGCCGCCGAAGCTGCCACTCGTTGTGAGCATTAGTCACCAGGCTGTGACAACTGCCTGGCAAAAGCGCCTGAAGGAAGTTCATCTGGCGCCCAGGTTGAGGATGTCGTGGCAGCGAAGGCATGGTCGCAAGAGCAGGAGGCTGCTCACATGACATCTAGGGTCAGGGAGCAGAGCCATGAATAGCGGCTCTATGCTCACTTTCCCCCTTTTATTTGGTCCTTGAGATGGTGCTGTCTGCATTCAAAGTGGCCCTTCCTTCTTCCATTAAACCTTTTTTGGAAAACCCTCATGAACACACCTGTCTTAGTTACGGTTTCTATTGCTGTGAAGAGACACCATGACCAGGCAACTTTTATAAAGGAAAACTTTTAATTGGAGCTGGCTTACAGCTCAGAGGTTTAGTCCATTGTCATCATGGTGGGAAGCATGGAGGCACACAGGCATGTGTGGTGCTGGAGAGGTAGCTGAGAGTTCTACATCCAGATCTGAGGGCAGCAGGAAGAGACTGTGTGAGCCACTGGCCTGGTTTGAGCATCTGAGACCTCAAAGCCCACCCCCATAGTGATACACTTCCTCTAGAAAGCCACTCCTCCTTCAATAAGGCCACACTTCTAATAGCCCACTCCCTGTGGGCTAATGGGGGTCATTTTCTTTCAAACCACCACAACACCCAAAGGAATGCTTTCATGATGAATCTAAATTCATTCTTGTTGGCTATGAAGATCAACATCACGCTTTGTAAGAGAAAACCTACTTGAATTAATTGAGTTTGTTAACAATGTAGTTAAAACGTTCTAGAAACGGAACAGGGTAGCTTATGTGTAAAGTGTGGGGTCTTGGCCTCAATGAGTCTTTCTCTTCAGGTCTTTCTTTAAAAATAAATGTGTGGAAAATTATTATTCTCCATGAGGTGGTAGACAATATGGAGTTTTGAATCTGCCCAAAGTAGATACACTTCATAGATGTCTTTCAGCTTTAATCCTAAAATTGTCTTCAGCTCACAACATGGAACCTGGCAGCACAGATTTATTGAGACATACAGTAGAGGGGAGTCAGGGATCACAGTCATGTGACCTGTTTTATCAGTCGTTTGGACCTCTTCAAAAAAACCAAATGAAAAGGAGAGAATAATTGAGTAGTTATCTTTCTAATCATGTCTTACACTTAGGAGATGCTTAAGTAAACCTGGTGATGTTTATTTAGACTGTACTTCTTGAGAATCTGATCAAGTTGGTCTAAGCAGAGATTTTGGCTATTACTCATATTTGTTTTTTAGCCTCTGATGATTTTGAAATATATATTTAAGTAGAGGACATCTGGCCCAGCTTGAAACTGCATTAAAGAAGTGCTTGAGACAGGGCTGATGGCTGTTGTGAAGAAGATTTGGGGACAGGGATCAAAGATGGTCATTTTGAATACACATGCCAGGAATAGGGGAGATGGTCATTGTGAGAAGTGCTGGAGACAGGACCGAGAGTCATTGTGTCTGTCTCTTATGTATTCTGTGTAAAGTTTGCATTTGGCACTAAACCAAACGGTAGCCTTCCTTCAATTTCCCTTGACATTTTTCAGGAAGTATCCTGTCCTGTCTTCCTTTGGGAACCTCCTGCAGGAAGTCCTGACCCTTGGCTGTCAGCACGGCTCTTGTTCTCACCTTCCCATTGTATCCTTTCTGCATGGTTGGGTCTAGATCCTCAGGGAGACAGCGCGAGTAAACATGCCTTAGGCCCCTTCATGTAGACGTTGTGTTGTTCACAGAGACTGCAGTGACCTGCTCTTGGACAACCTAGGGTGTTGGAGTGTGAGCCTTAAGGAGTCTGTGGGGCAGTATAGTCAGGGGGCTTGTGGAAACAGTCTGGACTGGGAAATAGGTACATTGAAAAAAAATTCTAGATTCCTTGGGTTTGGTGCATACTGACATCCAGAGTTGACTGACAAATTTACTGAGTGAGGGCGAAAGAATGCTAAAAACTGGAGGAGGGGGCTAAGGGTTGTGGAATGCTGTCTTTCAGGCATGATGTGGCTCTTGTACTTGTGAACTCTTAGCAGCCATGATTGACTGAACAAGACCTGAACATGATTGGGCCTATTAACATTCCATCATGGAAGTGGGAAGGGACTCCCAAGGCCCCCTGCTCTTCACTGGGATCTGTAGGCAGTTAATGGTTTCTAGGGAAGGGAGAAATATTTTCATCAGTGGTGTAGCCACTGGCAAGTTGCCCATACTCCTGTAATTGACCCTAATTAAGATATTTCATACACACACACACACACACACACACACACACACACACACACACACCACATGAGCATGAAAGAAGGAAGTGACCAGTTAGGAGGAGGAAGGGCTGAAGAGTGGGTAGTGGGGATAAATATGATCAAAATATATTATGAAACCCAGTGTCATGTGTGATTGGTACATATTAATAAAACACTTTAAAAGAATTTACCACGTTAATAAAAGAAAGTATAACTTTACTTAAAAGCAGTACACAGCTGTGTTTCGGAGTGAAAGAAATATTAAGCTATGTACTTTAGACTTTCCTGGAAGAAAGAAGAGAGGGTAATAAAATGCCCTTTCTTCTTTCATTTTTATAGCTTCTCAAATTCATAGGCTATGTGCAAACAGAAAACGTAGCAGAGAGTAACCTACTCAGCCCGTTTTCTGCCTTTGCACTCTGGGCGGGGCAGTGCCTGGGTTCCTGGAGACCCTGCTCCCATGGCGAGCAGGCAGAAACTGGGAAGTACATTTCACGGGCAGAGCACATCCGGCCTTTGAGGTTCACTTCAGTGGAGTTTCTGTTTGAAAAGACTGTGTCAGGATATGGTCCACAGTGTTGTTTCCTGAAGCCTCCTTTAGCCAGGGAGTGCTTTCTATAGTGTGGAGTCTGTCTGCTCAGAATTTGTCCACACTAGCCCCCTTCTGGTAAAATACAGGAGTGCACGTGGGGCCTGAGGTTGTTCTGAGGCCTACTGTGATTTCCCTTCTTAAACCTCCACTCACTCCAGCTTCTCTCTGTCTGTCTTTCTCTCCCTCCCTTCCTCCCTGCTCCCCACTCCCATTATAGATGAGGTCATCAGGATTTGGAGCCAGGAGAAATACATTTCTGTCACTTTAAATCTCCACATTCAATTTAGACTGCACACGCATCCCCCTCCCCCCCTTGAGGAGGCAGTTGCACTTAACTCTTGGAGGACAGTGTACTTAATTGGGTTCTTGTAGACTATAAAAAAACGAGCCAGCTGGAGGGGTTCTGCCAGTTTGTGATCAGGGCTCAGCGTCTCCACATTTTGTGTTCTCACTCATTTCACACTTACTGTTGCTTTCAAGTCCATGATGGGCTGTGAACCACAGTCTGGGTTTGATCGGTTTCTCAGGGCTTGATTGGATTTTCTTTGCTTTGTCCTGTGAATACCTGACTTGCTTGTTTGGCTTGAGGGGAGAGGGAGAGGTGGGAGGGGAGAGGCGTGGTGAGGGTGGGCCTTTGAAGAAGAGGTCTTCTGGTATAAGTTGTGTTGTAAAACCCTGGTGGACAGAAGGATCGTGCAGAGTGTAGAGATAGGCCAGCAAGAGTGGGGAGAAGATGCAAATCTGGGAAGACATTAACCAGCGGGATGGCCTCACTTGTTGGGGTTACTGTTGGAGGGACAGTAAGACCTGAGGGAATTTGAGTTTCACCGGTTGCTGCCCTAGTTGCTGTTGTCTGGGTAGGGCCTCCTCAGCTGCACCCAGTGCAAACCACGCCCCCTCAGTGAGGCGAGCTCAAGGTAGAGAGGTAGCCTCCCTCAGGTCTTGCTCAGGCCTTGGCCAGTAGAGGTGAAATGTCTGGAAAGCAATCATACCTGCCGGGAGCCAGTTTTGAGCCTATGCTCTTCTTGGTGAAAACTACGTTCAACAGTCTGCTGGGGATTGGCTAGTCTGTGACGTCATTCTTCTTCTGGAATGGCGCAGATCCCTTCGGTGCCTTCTTTGGGGCTGTAACAGACTGAGCCACAGGGAAAAATAGCTCTTTGAAGAGGGATCTAGCAAACTAATGAAGCGGGATGTTCTTCTGTCCTAACGCCAGGCTCTCTTTCACCGTAACCACTTTAAACTATGACGCGAGCAGTAAGTCACCCTGGGACACGGAAGCTGCAGCAAAAGAAGCCTCCGGTGGCTCTCACCAGATACCCCGGAGCGCCCAGGAGGGCTCTCTTCGCACGTTTATGGCCCATTTGTACCAAACCAGATATGTGATTAGGAAACCTATGCAAGAATAAGTTTGTAGGGGCCTTATTGATAAAAAACAACAGAAAGCTGTAATTTAACCGAAATATCCATCAGCAAAAGAATAAAGTGTGACAGAGTCACACAGCACAATACTGTTCAGAGGCAAAAGGTAAAGGGTTAATAGGGAGACTTTTCCCAAACAGAGTGCAAGGTAGAAAATGAACATTTACGGCAATCCTTACATGAATGTTAGTTGAAATGTATGAATAAATAGCAAGTTTTCAAAAGTATTCAGCCCTAGGGAAGGTCCAAAAATACCTGGGGAGAACCAAGAGTGTTGGTGTTGCTACTGTTTTCTCCGGCCCCTGGTAGGCAGTCCATATCGGTTATACAGTAGGAACTTGGTTCTCCGTAGCTGTACATTTTACCCTATGGAACCAGCCAATTTCGTTTCAAAGTGTTGAGAAAAAAACATGGCACTTGCACCGAACATGTGCAGGTCTCCTGGCATTAGACCCCCGAGAAGCTCATACCAGCGGCTACTCACACGGCGCCGACATTGTACTAGGCATTATAGACCTGGATGTGATGTAGCTCGTGGGACGGTGTGCGCAGGTCTTACGAAAACATGACACTATTTTACGGAAGGTGCTCAGCCTTCATTGAACTTGACTTCTGCGGCAGGTCCTGGAACTGAGGCCCTGAGGGCAACTTTGTTATATGCTGGATGTCCTGTAAGAAATTTTAGTAGTTGAAGTTGGGGACACATGTGGCTCAGTTGCTAGAGGGCTTGCTTAGTATTCATGAAGCCTCGAGTTCTGTCCACAGGACTGCATAAAGTGCTGCTTGCCTGTAACCCCATGCTGGAGGAGTTGAGGGAGGAGGATCGGAGGCTCAAGGGCATCCTGGAGTATAGTACGTTTGAGGTCAGCCTGGGCTGCATCAGCCCTTTCTCAGAGGAAAAAAAAATTAAAGAGGTGGAAAACAAAGAAGAAAATTTGATAATTAAATAAGCCACAAGAAAGAACATTTCCAGATTTAACTGGAGCCAGGCACAGAGGTCAGACACTGGGTGACCTTATCAGCCATTTTAAAGTTGTGCGCTCAAGTGAGGGCAGAGGGGAGCCACTTAAGGCTTTAGACAGGAATGATCCGTTAGCTCAGACTTTAGAAAGGGACTCTAGCAGTGTGGAGACTGGGTTTGGGGAGAGAGGGTGCCTCAGAGGAGCAGTTAGGAAAGGCTACCGCTTCCCAAACCACAGAGCCTCTGCAGGAACACCGCACAACTGGGCCATGTCCCCAGAACCCAACAGTCAGTAGTAAAAGAAAACTGAGGGTGCTGGTGAGAGGGCTCAGTGGTGAAGCTGCTGCCAAAGCGGGTGATTGAATTCCGTCTCTAGAACCCACAGGGTAGAAGAGAATGGGTTCCTGCGAGTTCTCTGGCCGCCACAGGTCTTTAAGTGAGCATGCCTAACACAATAAAGAAATGTAATAAAATATTTAAAAATTCTTCTGTATTTTTATAGAATGTCTGTGGCTGCATTTTTATTTTACATTTGAGCCTTTGATATTAGTGTGATATTGATTGTTTATCTCTGAGGTACTATGGGTTACACCCAGGATTTGTTGTTAGGTAAGCATTCTATCATTGGGCTACTCATGCCCACACACAATAAAGAAATAAATATATTTAAAAAATTTATAAATATTTTAAAATATTTATTTCTTTATTGTGTGTGGGGGAGGGCATGATAGCCATGGTGTGTGTGTGTGAGTGTGTGTGTGTATGTGTGTAGATCACAGGACAACTTGCAGGGATTGATTCTCTCCTCCCAGCACGTGGGTCCTGGGACTTGAACTCGGGTCATCACTTGGTAGCAAGTACATTTGCATGTTGAGTCACTTTCCTGTCGCCTCCTCTTTTGCTTCTTATTTATTTAGTGTGTGTATAGGAGCACATGCATGACACACCCCACCCAGCACCAATGGTATATGAAGAGCTAAATAAACAAAATGATCTTTAAATGGATGGCCAGTTAGTGGAAGAGTAGCTCTCCTTGGAAATGGGGGGTGGAGTAGGAGAAAAATAAAAGAGAATAAAAAATAATCTTTCAAACTCCATTAATTCAGCTTTTGTGCTCATGAAGTAATTAGTGAGATGAGTTCAAGAGGCTTGGGATATGTTTTGGTTGGTAGAATGCTTACCTATCATGGATGCAGCTCTGAGTTCCATTTCTAGTATATTGTAAACTGCGTGTGGTAGGACATGACTGTAACCCTAGGAAGGTGGCGGCGAGAAGGCCTTGAGTCCAAAGTCACTCTCCACTCCGTGGCAAGTGCGAGCCCAGCCTGGGCCACGGGAGACTGTGTCTCTAAGTTAAATGAGTAATGGGCTCTGTGGGTCAAGTGCTGGCTATGCAAGTGTGAAGACCTGAACCCTGTAAAGTTGGGCGCAGTAGTAGACCTGTGTAACCCCAGTGATTCTGCAGGGAGATGGGAGCTGGAGGCAGGAGGATCTTTGAAGCTTGTAGGCCCGTTCACTGGAAGCACACAGTGGTGAAGCGATAAGACAGCCCCGTCTCACAAAGTTGAAACAGGAAGGTGCATATCCAAGGCTGTCCTCTGACTGCCACACACGAGACTGCAGACACATATATACATACACACACACACATACACATTGTACACATATGGGCAAATAAATAAAGATTAATTACACATTATACACACATGCATATAGACACATCACACACACATAGTACACATAGGCACAAAGAAATAAAGAATAATTACACACTGTACACATATATACATACAGCTATGCCACACACGTTGTGCACATATGCATAAAGAAATGAATAATAATTACACATTGTATGCACATACAGATAGACACATCACACATACACATTGTGCACATATGGACAAATAAAGATTAATTACTCATTATACACACATATACATATAGATATATCACACATACACATTGTACATATATGCACAAAGATATAAAGAATGATTACACATTGTATACATATGCACAAAGATATAAAGAATAACTATTTAGAATAGTTATGAGAATAAAATTTAGAATAATTCATATTGTGTTTATAGCAAAATGTGTGCGTGTGTGTGAGCTGCAGGTTCTTGCAAGTCGACCTGAGTTACCCCTTTATTTTCTAGGGATATCCTGAAGACCATAGCTCTGGGCCAGATGCTGTCCTTATGTATATGTGGCACAGCCATCACCAGCCAGTATTTGGCGGAAAAGTACCGAGTGAACACGCCCATGCTTCAGAGCTTCATCAACTACTGCCTGCTGTTCCTGGTCTACACAGTGATGCTGGCGTTTCGATCTGGTACGTCAAATGTGGGAGCCATCTGCTCCATAAATGTTCGTGATTTTCCTTAAAACCTTTGTTGCGTGTGTATGTGTGATGCGTGTGTGTATATATGTTTGCATGCGATATGTTTAAGTGTGTGCGTGACCTAAACTGACCTGGAGGGTGCGGGATTTCTATTTCCCTCATTTAAAACCATACTATCTTGTTACTTCCCAAGGGAATCAGTGTTGTTTCTATGTGGCAAGATTAATGAATATGTTTTGTGGTTCTAGGGGTTGAGCCTATGGTATTGTCCCCAATCCTCTCTTTGCATATTTTCAAATTTATTTATTTATTACACGTGTGTATGTGTTCATGTGAGTCTATGTATGCATGTGTGTTGGGGTATGCATAGAGGCCAGAAGAAGGTATTGGATGTCCTCTTTCAATACTCTCTTTTTTCTTTAAGTTTCTCCTGAAACTTAGAGCTATGTTTTTTTCAGCTCGGTTGGAAGTCAACAAGCCCCAGAGATCCCCACTTACTTTGGAGCTGGGGTTATAGGTGTGTGCCGGATGCCAGTTTCTTCCACGGATTCTGAAATCTGAACTCTGCCCCTCATGATTGTGCAGCAAGTTCTTTAACCACTGAGCCATCTCTCTAGCCCTTTGTAAATCTTAATCTCAAGGAAAGATCTTGCCAGGTTGTACTTTTCAGCCCCCGAGGAGCTGAGATTATGGCCACCAGACCTGCCTATTAACATCATTACTGTTAATTATTATCACCAATGTAGGAGGTAGAAGCCAGTTGTGAGATTAGAGAAACTTGTTAAGGTATCACAGTTGGCAAGATCTCTAGGGCAAGGTGGGGGTGAGCAGAACTAGCAAGCGAGTGGTAATTCTGGGTTCTGCTTTCCTGGTGTCATTCACAAATACATCAGTGTGGTCCCTTGAAGTCATGGTTGTCATGTGCTTTTCTGTCATGTGTTGAGAATACCAGCTCTGAGTTTTCAGGACATTCTTGGTAACTGGATTTTAGTGGTAGTTATGTTGTGGGAATCTTTCTGGAATAAACACTGTGGGGAGAGGAGATGTCCCCAGCGGACCGAAGCCAGGATGGTTCCTGAAAGGCTTCAATGCTGGGTCCGGTTTGTATTCTCATTTTATACTCTAAAACCATAAGATGGGCCAGGGAAGCAAGCATGGTTTTACGGAAACGTATGTGACCCATCAGCAGGCTGTTAAGGGCAACGGCCTTTGTTTCAGCGATTTGTTCTGATTATTCTGTTCCAGGTACCAAGTGAAGTCATGCTTGGCAACAGGCAGTATAACAGTGCTTTAAGTGAATCAGTAAATAAATGAAAACACCAGTATCTATTAATTGGCCTTTTAAAAAACCTTATTCTTCTTAAGTTAGTTATTGTACTTGATCTTAGCCAAGATGCCAAGAAGTGATAGCTATTCGACTATGGTATGGATTTCATGCCTGGTGACTAAATGTCTGACAAATGCAACTTAAGGGAGAAGGGGTT